CCCAATAAAAAAAAAAAAAAAAAGGAGAAAATTTTGGTCTTTGTTTAATCTCTCTGTGGCACCGACTGCAGATATTTTCTAGGAGCAATAGCTGCCACTTTGACACTGTGTACAGATTGAGACCTAGCAGTTTTGTCTCCTACTGCTAATGAGAGAGTTTTGGGAATCTCTGGGAACATATGTTTTGATTCTTTTGTAGACACACTTCATGCCTTGCAAAGTCTTTTGGAAGAAAAAAATGTCTTAAAAGCTTATGATGAGATATGACAGGAATATTTTTCAGTAATTTTTTGGATTTGTCCTAAGCGGTGTTTCTTTACCTATGTAAGAGTTTATGAAGACAACTTTACAAATGAGACAGCAGTAAAAAAAAAAAAACCAAAAACAAACTCTTATTTTTTTAGTACTGGAGACTGAACCCAGGGCTGCTTCCTCTGAGCTATATATATATATCCCCAGTTCTTTTTAGTTTTTGAGATAGGGTCTTGCTAAGTTATCCAGGCTAGTGAACAATTTGATTCTATTCTTTTGAGAGGTCTCCCTACGTAGTGCAGACTGGCTTTGAACTGGCAGCTATCCTCCGGCCTCAGCCTCTCCAGTGCTCAGATTACAGGCGCTCCTGGAGGCCGTAATTCTCTTGCCTTAGCCTCTCAAGTAGCTAGTAGAGTAACAATATATGTGGCTAGAGATACGGTAGGTGTTTTATGAGGACTGATTAGCATCTAGCAGGCCTACTATTCACTAAGTTTAATAGTAAGATTTTATGTAGTAACCAGCTCAACATATCTAATCCTAATGGTTTTATACATTGTTCAGCTACAGACTACTTAAAGGAATGTTACATGATTGGGATACAGAATTCTACTTGGTTTCCACTTCACGGATAAATGTAAGCCTTTCTAAACTCGGAAACATGACTGCCAATCGATCTGGAATTTAATAGCCCAGCTCATCACCCGCATCAACTCCCTTGTGGGGCCTGGCTCTGCAAAGGGGAACGTGAGCCAGGTACAGTTGGCCTGTTTGCTCTTTACTTCCTCCCTGGTGGATCCTAAGCCAGGAAAAGCCTGCTGTTACGGTGCTGCTGGTGCCAGCAAGCCACCCACTCTGTTGCTAGCTGCTTTGCCAGATCCTCTGGTGCAGTAGACCAGGGATCCTCGCAGCCCGGTGCACGGAGGTGCAGAGCTGTGTGGCTTCCCTAGTGAGCAGACCGGAGCTTGCCCGCTTCGGGGCTCCCTGTGCTGCTACTGGCTGGAAAGGAAGAGCTCTCACCGGGCAGTGTGCTCGCCGCCTGTTACAAAAGCAAAAGTGCCTGGCAAGTTGGTGCTCCAGAGCTGCACTGACCAATGCCTGAGTGGCTACTCACACCTGGGCCGTGAATCAGACTCGCTGAAGTGAGGCAAGATCAGAAGGTCAGTGCCCGGTCAGGCCAGCCACGTCCCCAGTGCTCGGCAGCTGCACCGGGTCACTCAGTAGTGCACTGGACAGGTCCACAGGGGACAATTCGCCACTGCAGAGCTCGGCTGGGAAGAGTGGCCAGCCCTAAACGGACAGCGGAGAGGAGAGGGAAGCTTCGGAGCTTTTATTTTATTACTTTTAGAACTTTTAGGGTTTGTCTTTGGCATGGAGTAGGAGAGTGTGGAATATGACTGAATTTCTACATAGCAAGACCCTGTCTCAGAAACAAAAAAACTACCCCAAATACAGTGGCACATGTCAACTACACAGATGTCATTAAACTGAATTTCATGGAAATTTGGATAAATTTAATTCTTACATTTTTTAATGCTCTGTGAAGAATTTTTTTAAACAAACTTTTGAATTCTTCCACGTCAAAAATGTCAACATCTTCATCTGTCAAAAAGGAAAGAAAAACAGAAATGAAGGGAGCAACAATGTCTTCATTGGACACATTTGCCAAGAACCCAGAAACCAAGCATCCTGCTCAACCTCAGAGCAAATAGGAGCAAAGAGGATGAGATCACGTGAGCGCCGCCCTCGCCTCTGGTCTGGCAGGGCACCGCCAGGTACAGGAACAGTCACCTCACATGGAAAGAAATGTGGGAGAACACGTTTCTGTGGGTTTTTACATGGCCCATAAATATCACATACAAGTGACTGACTGAAAATGGAAAACATTACCTGGTCCTTTACTCATATGAAAAACATCCCACATTTTCTGGTGCCGATGAACTTGTATGTCTGAGAAAGGAAACACTTATTACTTACTAGTTTGTCTCAGGGCCTTGAAGTAATGTGCTTAGAGACCTGCATTTAAAATGACGTATCACCTGCTTTCCTCCCCAGTGTCTAGCATACTACCTGGCACACAGGTAGGTGCTTGCTGAACATGTGAATGTGTGAGAACCGGAAATGTACACAGGCCCACCTTTAAGGTGGGTGGAACCCAATCCCTGACAGTGGGACTAACTCAGAGGCAGGTACTGTAAATACAGGCAGCTGTGCACAGTTGGGGCAAGTGCTAATAAAGGTGGGTGTGGGTGTACTTCCCTGTCACAGATGAATTGATATGGGATGGTAACAGTCAACTAGCAATCTATCAGGCCTTGTTCTGAGTATTTGACGTGCACTTTGATTTAATCCTCATCACAACCTATGTGATATCATCATTACTGCACAACTCTGTCAAATGGAAACCCCAGCGCACAGAGATGCCCACCTCCCTCCCCAGGGCTCATGGGGAGGCAGCCATGGAGCCACAAGACCAACCGGGAAACTGGGGCTAGGGTCTGTGTTCTTTCTTAGCCTCTGCACTATGCTACCTGCTGAACAAAAAACAGACATTTATCTTGAAACAATGCTACACTGTAAAAACAAATTTTCAGAAATACATTTTCTAATTCAATAGTAATATAATGTCCAGCAAATACTTATTTTGTGCTTAGGATGTGCCTGTTAGTGTGCTAAGTTTTGCAGACATGACACCGCCTCACCGAATTCTCCAAACACTCCGACTGTCTTCTCCATTCGGTAAGAAATCTGAGGGTTGTGGTTATGCAGTTTGGCAAAGGGCACAAGACAGGCAAGGGACAGAGTGGGATTTGATACCAGGTCTCCTGACTCTACACTCTGCATTCTTATGTATGAAATTGAGCCCAATGAAACTGACCGGTTAAGTGGAACTACAGACCACCCAGACTTACAAACGATGTCTAAAAGGGCCACATCATTTATGCTTGCACGGTTCTCCTGAAAGAAAAGGATAGACCTTTTAGCAAACATGGCAATAGATTTGATGCTACTCTTTGTTGAGTGGCACATTTTAGGGTTACTCAGGACTTTCCTGAAAACCCATCTCCGATCGATGCTGTGCCATTTACCAAGACAGAACTGCTTCCTTTCTCGGTCAGGTAATCACAACCCTTCTCCCTGAACTTAGTCTTCTTCTATCATATTTAACATTCTTTTAAGTTTAGCTAGTTCTAACAGTTTAGTTTTTTATTTAAGTATACTTAGCGTACATTAAGCTGTACGTACTTAAACTTGTAATTCGCAGGTTTTCACTGATGAATGTAGCAAACCTCAGTTCATCACAATTTTGCTTCTGTTTGTGAAGTCCGCACTGGGCAATAAACAGCACCGCGGCTGTCTTGCCCAGAGTTGTAGAATGAATTAGGTTCATGAACCGAGGTGCCACGGTACACTCATGAAAACATCGCCACACTCAAGGTAGTGAAGAGCAGCCCCCCAAATTTTCTTGTGCCTCTTTCTTACCCTCCTATTCTACTCTTCTCAGCCTCCACCTCCTCCCTCCCAACCCTTGGCTGTGAGGCAGCCCCTGATCTGCTTCCTGTCACTGCAGGTTTGTTTTCTAGGGTTTACATGAATGTGAAAATAACTTTCTATTCTTTGTTGAGTGGCTTCTTTTATTCAGTGTAATTATATTGATATTGGGCCGTATTTTAATTTTTATTATGTATTTATTTTTGTACTGGGGATCGAACTCTGAACCTTGAGCTTGTGAGGCAGGTGACGGCACCACTGAGCTAAATCCCAAGCCTTCATATTTTTCTTTTTAAGCCGCACAGCAACATTCATTGCCTCAGCCTAGACCAAACTGTACTTCTGCATCTATAAATGCTACTTCCTTTTCTCTCCTAAGTAGTATTTTGCTGTATGGCTATGTCGCAAGCTATTTATGTGTTTACCTGCTGAAGGGTACTCGGGTTGTTTCCAGTTTGGGGCTGTTATGAGTTATGTGGCTGAGCACCACTGTGCCTGTCTGTGTGGACAGGTTTTCGTCTCTCAAGTAAATGCTGAGGCATGGGTGGCCCAGTCTGTGCAGACATCCGCTTTAACTTCTAAAGAAACTTCCAAACCGATTTCCAAAGTGGCCGTAGCATTCTGTATCCTACGAGCAGTGTGACAGTTCTTCTCCCTCTGCTCATGCTCCTGAGGCCAGCCGCTAATGAGTGGGTAACAGAATGGTCTGTGTCCTTCTAGACTGTCACACCAGGCTTCTTAGCCCTGGGCCACTGATATTTTGGTTTGTTAGTTCTGTGTTGTGGGGGTGGTCCTGGAGTCAAGAAGCACCCCTGACTTCTACCCAGTAAAAACCAGTAGCACCCCCACTCCCTCCGTGTGACAACCAAAATGTCTCTAGACCTTTCCATCTGTCCTGCGAGACAAATGATCCCGGTTGAGAACACTGGACCTTCGACACATGGACATTAAATGCATTATACAGTTTCTTTCTTTTCTCTTTCTCTCTCTTTTTTTGTTTTTGAGACAAGGTCTTGCTATGTACTTCAGGCTGCCTTGAACTCCCTGCAATCTTCCTGCCTCAGCCTCACCAGTGCTAGGATTACCGGCATGTGCCACTCTGCTCAGCTCAGTGTCTTTCAGTGTTGTACACAGGGAATATTTTGTTATGGACAAATCATTCACTAACACATACCTGTTCTCAACTTATTTTATTTTTTTGGTACCAGGGATTGAACTCAGGACCTTGTGCTTGATAGGCAGGCGTGGTGCTACTGAGCTAAATCTCTGGCCTAACTTGTTTATGTTTAAAACAATGCTACAGTTAATTCACTTATGTATAAATAACTGAATATGTAAATATTTGTAAATTTAATATTGGTAATATATACCTTTTTATTCTAAATTATTTTTTCAGTGTAAATTTCAGAAGTAGATATTTTTATAAAAATATTAAAAAATACATTTAAAAATATTTTAAAAACAAATGAGGAAAGCCAGAGATGGAGGGTCCACAGTGATTTTTAGGCCAGCCTGGGATGTAGGCAGACCCTGTTTTAAAAGAAAAACAAGGTGGGCATGGTGGCACATGCCTGTAATTCCAACATTCAGGAGGCTGAGGCAGAAGGATTGCTGTGAATTCGAGGTCAGCCAGGGATACACAGTGAGTTCAAGGGCAGCCTGAACTGCATAGCAAGACCCTGTCTCAAAAACAAAACAAAACAAAACAAACACAAAAAAACCAAAAACAAAAAATCCACAAATGAGGGAAAGGTACACCAGAATATGAGAATTCTTTGTATACTACTTGCAACTTTTTTGAGAGTCTGAAATTTAAAAAAAATAACAAAGAGCTTTGGCTGGGATGTAGCTCAGTAGTGCCATGCCTGCCTGGCAAACGCAAGGTCCTGAGTCCAATCCCTAGTACTGCCAAAAAAAAAAAAGTCTTTAAAAACAACAAAAAGTAAATAAGTAAATCAATACATAGGAAAGACAATTTCTTTCCTCACAACTTTGCCCACACATTTGAGTGTTATCATCTTTGCATTTTGGTCATAGGGTGGTTAAAAATACCCTGCTCATTATTTTAACTTGTACTGATTTTTTTTTTCACTTGTGGTATTTTGTTTTTCTTGATTTGTAAGCATTTCTTGCAGTTAAAAAGGCGAATTAGCATTAGTTTTTCCACTTTATGAACCGGTAAGGAGCTGCCTTTTGATACCTTTTGGAAAGAAAACCCCAAGGGGGTTGCAAGCTGCTCCAGGCGACCTTTTTAGGCGGTGCTGGGGACCTGGCCCAGCATTTTGCGCATGGCAGCGGCGGCTCCCAGGGAGCGGCGTCCCTAGTCCTCAGACTCATCATTTTGTCACTGTTACCTCACACAGCAGAAGCAAGTCCTGAACCAAAGATTCCTTTCTCTGCTTGAAGTTTAGGCTCCGCAACTGGTTTTCAGACAAAAAACCCCAGGTTTTTAAGATTGTCATCATTTCAGCCATGGGGATTTTTAAGATGGTCCGCCTGATGAACTCGGCGAGAGTCTCATCCATCTCTCTGGTGTTGGAACAAAACAAAAGAGGCACAGTAAAGAATTTATCAAATGGAGAACCTTAACCTAACTGAATTTTTCAGAAGATTTTCAGCCAGCATCTAATTTGGAGGTCAAATTCCAAATTTAGCCAAACAGTACACAGTGTTTCAGCATGAAGACTTAATTATTTTCTTTTTAAGGCATATATTTAAATATGTTTTACAATAAAAAACAAATCAGTGCTGCTATGGTTTGGATAGGGTCTGTCTCCCAAGGGTTCAGGTGCTGGAAGTCAGGTCTCTAAGGAACCGGCATTGGGAGCTGATGGGTCTTTAAGAGGCGGGGACCAAGAGAGCGCGAATGGGTCCCTGGGTCACTGAGAAGGGATTAATGCTCTTTCAAGGGACTGGGTCATGTCACCCAGGTCCCTCCAGAAAGGATTACAAAGTGAGTTCAGCTCCTCCTCTGCGCACTTTTGTATCTCACGTGGGCTATCGCCATGGAGCGCGGTCACACTGCCCCACAGCCAAGCATTCCTCACTAGTGGCCACTAGACGTCGGACTTTTCAACATTCCAACCATGAGTTAAACAAATCTTGGTCTCTCTCTTCTTCCTCCGTATGCAGTTTCAGGTATTTTGTTACAGCAACCCAAGATGACTGAGACAAGTGCTACCTGCCCTTTCTTGACTAGGTACTTCGATCTTCGTTCATCCACGGATTCAGGTAACCCATAACTGAGAACCTGTATGCCAGGTATTTCTGGGTTTTACGAATAGTTACATCTTTGTTCAAAAAGACAAAACTCTGAGAAACATCCATTCTAGTGAGGAGAGGGACAACATTTTTTTTAAAAGTCACAAAACGAGTTTGGAGAGAGAAATGTACCGAGAACAAATGACTGTGGGGACATAATTAGAACCATGAAAATGAAGTTCGGTTTGTCGCCTTTCCCAGATACAAAAGCATCCTGTCTTATGTCAAGGCTAAAAATTTCACCATGATCTATAAGGTCCTATATTGTCTGGTCCTTGCTTCCCTGTCGTCGGCTCTTTGAGCTCCAGGTATTTAGTTCCTATAATACAGAATGATCCCTGCGGGACGGCCCATTGCACCTGCAACTGCCACTGCCTAGAAGGTTCTATCTGTATGTATTCAAATGGGTTATTTCCTGGTGTAATTCAGGAGTGTAGTTAGCTTCCTGTTGCTGTGACAAATACCTGAGATAAGTAACTTATATGGAGGAAAGATTTATTTTGGCTCATAGCTTCACAGGTTTCAGCCCATGGCCTTGGCCATATTACTTTGGGCTTGTGGGAGCATGGTATGTCACGGTGGAGGCAGCCTGTTCATCTCAGGGAGAATGGGAAAGAGAGAGAAAGTGTGGGGGTCCCAATGTCCCTTTCAAGGACATACTCCTAATGACCTAACTTCCTCTCACTAGGTCTTACCTATGAAAGGCTCCACCATCTACCAGTAGCATCACAGGCTGGAGACTGAGCCTTAGCATATGGGACTTAGGGCCACAATTTTAGATCTATAGACATCAGGTACCAGTTAAGTGGCTTCTGCTCCCAGAGATTTATTCAAAAGTTATTTGCTCACCTTCCACTACTTATCACCTTTCCAGAATCATCTGAAATTAACTTTATTGTTTTATTGTACTCATAACATTTCATTGTGCCCTGGGGTCTCATTCATAGCTAAACCTCTACAATCTACCACAGTGTCAGGCCAGTTAATGATTAAGTCTAGCAACCCTGGGAACTTTCCCATATGTACCTGATAAATACTCACGAAATAGGTGATTAGATATTTTTCCCAAGCACCATGTTAGAAAATTACCTGGGGGATGGGGATTTAGCTCAGCCGCACCGCGCCTGCCTGGCAAGCGCAAGGTCCTGAGTTCATTTCCCATATGGGGGGAACAAAACAAAAAACAGAACAAACGGAAAATTACCTGGGAAGGATTAGGGTTCAACAGTCAGTGAAATAGCAAAGCAACACTTTCCCCATTAAGAATACTTAGGAGGCTTGTTGAACTGAATATTCCTGAGCCATCAAGGAAACTGGGCAGAGGGCACATGTAAGAAAGGATCAAGATTTTTAAAGAGCACTTAACAAGATTCTCGACTGTTGGGCCGGGGATTTAGCTCAGTGGTTCCGCCTCCTGCCTCACAAGCACAAGGACCCGAGTTCGATCCCAGGTACCAAAAAAAAAAAAACCAAAAATCTCAATTGTGGGTAAAGGTCACCAGAATACCATTCTAAAGAAACCTGGTAAAAGAGAGCAGTTAAGCTTACCAGCAGCTTCAAAACCCTTTAATAAAACTTTTGTTTTGTGACTATAGCAACAGGGAGAATAAAGAGTGATGCGAAAGGCTGTATGGATAAAAAAGAACGGAAGCCAGAGAAGGAAAGATAAAAAAGCTCCGACTCCTTACTAGGTAGCAGCGCCCTCCTGCGACAAAGCAGCGTAGAGAGCACAGACGCGCGCCCTACGTAATCCCCGCCCCAGTACGGGCGGATGTGACGTCACGGTAGGACTGGCCCTCGTTCACCTCAGCCTCGGTCTCCCAGGCCCAGCCCAAGCCCCAATCCTGCGCCGCAAGACATACGCCAAGTGTGGAAAAGCTGCCCCAGAGATCTGGAGTCTGACTTCAACAAGGCTTCCACCACCTTGCAGATCAGTCCTTTACCACTAGAAGCTCTCTTACCGGCCCATATCTCCAGCCGTTTCCTCAGCAGCTGTTCCCGCCGAGGCACCTTCAAAGCCACCAATGGCATGCCCTGCCGTCTGCAAGCTCCGCCCACCGAGCGGGACTTTACACTGACCCCCGCGCACAGGGGGTGACTTGGGGGTCACGACAGAAGGGAAACTCGCTGAGCCGCCACTCTGCCTTCTCAAGAGAATAGTTCTTGTAAGCGAAGGTAGGATCTGTCACGAAACCTGACTTTGGGGTTCAGAGTGCTGTTTTGGCGTTGCCGATCCTCATCGGGTTCTGTGCTCTCCCCGCAGAGCAGGAGAATGGGCCGCTCGAGGGCGTGTGGCGCATGCGCTCCCCGGGCGGTGGCGGCGTAGATGGCGGCGAGGGGCGGGGCG